ATTCTAAAAATCATCTCGAAATTTATGTTATGTAGATATCGAGCCTAAACAAGTTACAGAACAATCAAAGAATTAGGATTGAATCAATGCAACCAAGGCCAAGGTGAATGCATATTATAAGTATAGTACAATGGAATAAGACTTGTGATAAGTCTAATTCCTATGTTGATTTTTATAGTACAATAGTTATGAACATGCATACATGATAATTATTATGATACATGCATAAGATATATATGTTCATATGATTTGATAAATGGTATATGTGAATAGATACAAATGCACATGTGATATGATAAGTGATACGAGCTATGTGATCACAAGAGAAATGATATGAGTAAATGAACATATGAAACATAAGAATAATGCCCATGGTATACGATATGAGAGCTATAGGTATAGTTGGTATGCCAAGAGTCGAGGGTTTCATAGGTCATTCGGGACAACTCATAGGTCCTTCGGGACATATTCACAGGTCATTTGGAACAAAATTTCATATGCCACTCAGTGGGACTTATACGAGCTGTGGTGACAATAATAGTGAACAACCTCAATGAACTCAAATACCTTGAGTTCTTAGTAATGTACATGGGCTTATAAAATGTTATCAAAGGTAATTGCATTATTATTGTTATATGTTACCGTGTTATTATCGTTTATATTGAATTACATATGACATGATTGAATGGATAGATTGCATGTTCATATTCATAAGGAATACATCATTATTATATTTATATGTCTCACTAAGTCTATGACTTAGCATGTAAGTGATTTACACGTAGGTACCAAGAACCAAGAATAGCATAAATAGGAGTGGCAAGAACAACAACACTGCTAGAAGATCAGATCAGAAGTAACTGATAAAGTATGTTTTTTGATTGTGTATAGTATGTTGGCATATAAGAAATGTTTTAGTACGAACTTCTGATCGACTTTTCTAATGTTTTAAACGTATATATGTAAATGGTAATTTGTATAGCGATGAAAGGTTAAATTTTAAGAGTTTATGTATGTTTTACGGAAGCATTGTAGCAGTACTGTAGCAGGGTATCGGTACCCTGGTAGGAATATGGAAAACATTTTAGTATACGACACTGTTCACGGTATTGTTCATACCATATAGTACTATTCATAAATACATTTTTTCCTCAAAATTTTATAACAAACATAATTCAATAATATATTATTGTATTTTCTTAATATAAATTCAAATGTTTTGTTACTTTGTAAAAATATTGTTTTAAAAAGTCAATGTGACATCTCGGACTCGTATTCGGGTCGGGTATGGGTTGGAGTGTTACAGGTGAGGTAATGAAAGTTTTGACATTGCGAAATCGAACTCTCTGTCGTTCATCGTCGTGAACCGAGCTTGGTAAATGACTCAAAACTTTGTGTTTTAAATTATAGAAATTTTTACAAATTCTTTCGACACCCCAAACTATTGCACGTGCCGCCATATGTCGCCCCAACACGTGGGCTTCTCCATTACCTGGAGGAGGATTTTGGAACTGGATCAACCCGATCCTGTACCCGTCCAATCCAATATCTAACTGACCCGAACCCGAACTGACTCAACTGAACCCTAGTTCAATCGAATCAAACTAGTCGAGCCGAGATGAGTCGCGCTGCATAGAGTCAATCTATGTCGTTCACCGTTGACCCCATTAACCATCGTTGACTGCCATTGACTTTGACTATTGATCAACGTTGACTTTTTTCAAAAATCTCCTTCCTCTTTATGTTTTTCGACATCCCGAGTCCAATTTTAAGATCCTTTTCACCAAGTTCTAACCTAAAAGTCCAGAATAAACATATATGCTTGCTCTTATATGGGCTTGCTTTCATCAAAACAGGCCCAAGTCCTCATTTGTAAATGGTGTTGGTTCTGTTACAGAAGGGCTTGTAAAATTTCCACCATTTGTGCTGTTAATTAAGCGCTATTCTTTTGAGCTGTGACTCGAGAGGGATTAAGTTAAGAGAAGGGGGCTAGATCTCATTTGGGTATCCTCTGTAGGGGAAAGAACTAAGATGGAAGGACAAACGATCGACAGGATGAGGATGTGGAATAAAATGACTCTCCTCCAGTTGCGTAGATTATCACTCTCATATTTAAGGGAAGACAAGCATATAGTTTCCCTAAAAAAAGGGTAACCTCCTCACTCTCCTCATTAGAAAAGGGTTCGCCCAGGACAATTAGATCGAAAGAAGTCCACCCGGAACCTCTACTGCTGCCCCCCACTTCTTCCTCCTATTGAGATGGAGTTGGATCCAACCCTTAAATTCTTGTAAGGGTTGTCTATAATTACATTTCTATAGCCTAAAGGGTAGGAATGCCCGCCAGAGAAGAATGTAGTTGCTTATAGTTTTCTTTTTCGTCGAGATCAATAGAGCCCTAGTCGGTCACTTTTCGGGTCGAGATCGATAAGTAGAAGTCATAAAAAAGAAAATTCTTGGTTAGCATTTCTAGAAAAAAATTAGTAGGGTTACCCAAACTGGTACCCAAGAGTGATTAACTTGAGTATTAGGGATCTAGAATGCAACCATCGTTCTGAGAAGCAAGTAAAGGGAATTCCTTAAGCAATTTCCCTTAAAAACTCAGGACAAAATGCCATTTCTATTAAAAAATAGACTGGTTCAATAGCATTAGACTAAATCGGGATACTAGGGGGTTTGGGATTTGAGAACACTGACTGACGACACTCAATTGACGAGACTTCGAGGCGGTGACGGTATACCTATACCGACAACCTGGAGGGAATTCCTCACAAAGAGGAAAGCCTTAGCCTTATTTATAAAGTAGACGCATGAGAATGCTTAGCATTTTTTAATATTTCTACATGATTTATTTGAGTATTGAATATAGAATTAATTTGAGAAAATATTTTTAAGAAGATACTCATGTTTCCCATTATCAATGGTCGATTGGATTTGACGCTTGTCGTTTAGTAGATATGCACGATCCACATACTTCGAGAGTTACTCATAGGTTTCCATAACTTATTTAAATAAGTTTATTAATTTTTATATTAGGTTAGTAATATATTTTCCCCGATTGTAGAATCTAACATTGTCGTTGACCGTGGTAGGCAAACCCAACAGTAGGCTACCCTATCAGACTTCTCAGACCGATATATGTGTGTTCCTGAGGTGTTAAATTTATGTTTTGATTTATTTATTTGAACTGTTCTGAACTTTTCATGATACTGAACATTTTTTGTGACATGATCTCTTATTTATTGTATATCGAGATTGGATTCTAATTTATAGTATAAATTTGGCATGATATTTAGTTATCATATTTTTCTGAATATGATTTTAAACCAAGGATTGTTTTCAAGTTTTGATATTAAACTATTGTTTTGACTGAAATACAAGCATATTTATTGTTATTAGGGTATTGTAAGAGAAAGTATTTCAGGCTTATTTTATGACTTGTAAGACTTTATCGCATGTCCTTCTGCATTGTGCACAAGATAAGTCCTTACCGCAGGTCCCTCTGCTTTGTGCACATGATAAGTCTTTACCACATGTCTTTATACTATAAGTATAAGGCCTTTACTAGGTGTACAGGTAGGCGTATGGTTCAGGAAACCTACACATTTTGGTATTCGGATGTGGGTAGTGTTCATGTTTTAAAAACATATTTTATAAATTAATTTTGCCGAAATATTTTATATGTATTTTTTGTATACACCGCAAGGATCACACTGAGCTTTTTAGCTCACTCTTTAATTTTTAACCTTTCAGATATTACTAGATAGTTGACTAGTAGACTTGACTTCATGAAGATCAATTGTTTCTCCTTTCTACCCGTTGTATATTTCTATATGCCATTTTTGTTATGTTTTGATGACACATGTTTTTGCTTCTGTCTTTATATACCTGTATGATTAGTATTTTGTTCTGGGTATTATTACATGGATTTCCAATGTTGGTATTTATATATGTTTATTATATGAACCTTACTGTTGGATATTTTCGTATTTTACTGTTATAATATATTTTATTTATTAAAATAGATTTCAATTATGTTTTAAATATGAAAAGAGTTTCTTAATAAAATATGTGATCGTTTAGATTGAATCGTAACGTCAGAGTCGAATCTATGGGTTTACATTACGAACATTTTAATATTATATTTTTTAATCTATTTTCATTCTCGATCTTAGGAATTTAGGAGCAAGAAAAATTAAAGCGATATCAATGTAAAATAAGACACACAAGACGAAATTTAATGTAGCTTAGTCTTGCATACCTCCATGCATAGAAAAACATAATCCACTATAAACATTCAAATCACAAAAAGAGTGCAAATAAATGATATCTCATGTTGTATCCCTATTACAGAGACTATAAAAAGATTACGTCTATAAAATTAATTCTCTATTATAATTCTAAAAGCTAAAACATACTAATAGAGTCAAATACTTGATCATCAATAATCCTTATTCAACAAGAATTCTCACTAATAAACTTAATCATCAAGTAGGCTTCAATCAATATATTTACAACAAAATTTAACTTAATTTTTAACTAGAATTTATCTAACACTCGAACTTTTATTTTTTTTAATCAATTAACGGATAAACAACAAACCTATTAAGTTGACGCCAACTATTTTATCCTTTTTTATTATTAATTTTAAATTATATATATATTATAGTTTTCGTTAATTAGCTTAATTTAACACATATAAATCTATTATTGTTTTCGTTAATTAGCTTAATTTAACAAAATAAAATAAAATTGAAGAAAACAAGATGAAAAAAAATTGAAGGGCTAATTAATTTTTAAAAGTTTGAAGATAAAAAAAAATGTCATTAGACTACTTTTAATCAAAATAGTTGACCATGTTAATTATTTAGAGCAACTAATAATTTTATAAATGTAGAAAGACCAAATTTTGCTAAATTAGAAGTTGATTGGGTTCGGCCCATCCTTTTGGAGTTGGTCCATTAAAACGAGCATGTTTTCCGCATTTTGGTAATAAATACAAATTCAAAAACTAAAGTTCCCAAAGTTCACCAGAAATATTTACCTTCTAGTCGACATCATCGGGTGAAAAGAGCAATGACGGCGGTCTCACAGGCGGCGAATGCGGCGTCGGGACAAGGTTCGGGCCCGCAGTTATCGGCGTCGGTGGTGAACTCGTTTCGCGTGGCGGCCGTGGCTGGGCGGTTGGCTACTCATACTCAGTCTGGTAGACAGCCTCAAAGCACGGAGTTCTTCAGCCTCTGCCTCTCTCTCGCTAGGTACTTCTCTTATTTACTCTTAACAATATATATCCGTTTCTGTTATACCAAGAAAGCATGCATCCGCATGTTTAGATTGTTATATTATGCTTTATCTTGTGCATTATTTCCCCCCTTCTTCTAATATTTTGTTAGAAAGTATCAGGTTTGTGTCTAACATGGTTATGTTACAATATTTTTGAATTTTACTCTGGAGAATAGTGCTCATATCCAGATCTGGAGATATTCGGATGCAAATGTTTAATATTGGTGTTTTAGAGAAAACGAAGGGTTTCAGTAAATTAGATTTTAATTTGTGCAATCTAGTGAAGGTTTTTGAGATATGCAACTATTTTGTTTTGAAATTGCGTGTTTTCTGAACGAACGTGGACAATAATTTCTCATTCAGCTCTGTTTCCTACCTCAGATTTGCTTTAATTTGTGCAATCTAGTGATTTCATTTTTTTCTGCCCGTGAGAGTTGTGTTTTCTCATTAGCTTTGCAAGTTATGTGTGAAGAGTGGTGATTATGGAAGAGGATTACAAGCTTTGATGTTTTTGTTGCGTTCAAATATTCAAAATGGAAATGATTTTTGCATGTATTAGTTGTTTCTATTTTGTTTTCATTTAGCTCTGCACTTGCTTTATTTTATTTTCATCTATACTTGTTCCACTGTTGCATTTATTCCATTGCACTTGAATACAATTTGATCTTATTGTTATTTTCCATTTCACAAATTTTTTACATGTACGGTGGATGTGTTTGAAATTACAGAGGCATCGATTATGCCATTGCAAACAATGAGGTTCCTGCCAAAGCGCAAGAATTACCTATATTATTGAAGCAGGTATGGTTATGTTGCATTCCCTCAGGTGTTATTATCTAATTATGTTAATTATTACCTAATTTTGTTGCAAGTTCCACTGATAGATTTCTTTTCTCCTACCATCTGATGATAGCTGTTTTCATATCAGCCGATAGATGGAATTATAGTAGAATGTCTTTGTTTATGCAAATGATATATATATCACCTATACGTGTCTCTGCTTTATAGATATGCCAACACAGAAATGACCTCTTCTTACAAGCAGCTATTATGGTGTTGATGATATCAGTAAAGGTACTTCTGAATACTTTCATCCATATAGTTTCTTGTTGCTAGTTGTGTGATCACTTGAATCTTCAGCGGCACCTTGGCAGTTACTTTGGTCTGAAGTTGATTCCTTTAATAGTCATATTTAACATTGTTCTTGGCCAAAGATATGGTATAGTATCTTCTGTATTTGATTTTTTCATTCCATGTCATTGGTTTATGTAATTTAAAATAAGATGGGATGCCTGGTTTATCAGACTTGTTTTGTTTTGAATTTCTCTTTTTCAGAACTCTTGTTTGTCATCTATTATAGATTTAGCCTTTTAGGTGTTCACATCAATTCAGCTTTCTTCTTTTAAACATTTATGTTGCTTGTGCATGATTTGCTGCAGGCCTGTATTTGTACTACACAGTACCTAGGTTTAGTGGAATATTATTTACTTAATTTTCCTTCAACCGTGTCTTAAGTTATTTTTTTTCTTGTCTTTTAACATGCCTTTGGTTTTTCAACGCTAAGTGATACATTAGCTTGTCTTGAGCTAATGATTATGTGTTCAAAAGTGAAGATAACTTATTGATGACTTTTTGTGTACATGATAGAATGCCTGTAAAATGAGCTGGTTCTCAGATAGAGAGACTCAAGAACTTCTTTCTCTTGCCAATGAGGTTTGATTCCTAGCTAACACTTTTATTCTCTCTTTCTATTTGTCAGTCGACTCTTTTAAAATTTTTCTGCATGTTGCATGGTTTCTTCTTGAGCCATTGTAGAGGTTTTAGCCTCTCACCTTGGGCTCATAAACACTTCTGTAACAAGTTGGTGGAGACTTATTTATTGATATGTAACCCTTTATGTTGCTAACTGAAGTTTCTCTGCATATCTAGGTGGGCAGTTGCTTTTGCACCCCTGGAGATATTATCAATGGATTGGATTGTTCACTTTCAACTGTTTTGGAAATTATGTCAAGGTGGGGGCTTTTACACATTTATAATTATTTGCAGGAACAATTATATTTCTATTTAAATGTTTATTGTTTTGTTCGAAAGTGATACTTTCCAAGAGATGTTAATTTGTAGTTCTAGTTTCTGCCATAAGTGTTTATTTTTTTTTCTGTCCAAGCAAGATGGTGGATGTACCAGTGCTGATTTTGGATTTCCAGTATCATACGTAGTGTGACCTTTAGAAATTTGACTCGGATATCAAGTATTGATGTTGACGTGATATTAATTGAAGCCAAATTTCCTCTTTGGTTTTTCACTTTTTCTCTCCCTCTTCCTTTCTTATCACCATGAGCATGGCGGGCGCCACTGTTGTTTTAATTATTAGACGATAGCATTTCATGCCGCAGTTGTCTGCTGAATATGTAATTGTATTGTTAATATATCTATACTTGGATGTATTTTATATAAATATGTTCCCTAGTTATAGGTAAAAAGGCATCAGCTTGCCTACCCCTATAGTTCATATGTTGCTTGTCACAATGTTTAAGTGTTGTACTTTTTTCTGCCATTGCTTATGAATGATTTGAAAATAAATCCACCTTTTCAGGTTCTATCCATTAATGAAGATGGGCCAGATACTTGCTTCTCTTGAAGCTCAGGTATTTTCTTTAATCATTTTAGACCCTATTGTTATACTAATTGAGCCTGTTTTAATCTTGTTTCTCTGCGTTGTAGCCTGGATACGGGGCTTTCGTGGTTGATTTCCATATATCAAAGAATATATCACATTCTCCGCATGAGAAAATTGTGAGCACATGGATTTTCCTCTATTATCCACTGTTTCTGCAGATCCTTTTCTTTAGATTAAAATTGAAAACACTGATTGTGGAAATTATCCCTCATCTTGCTTTGTATCTTTGTTCTGTTTCTCTTACAGAGGTTATTTGTAGCTCAAAAAGATAACATAGAGACATCTGCTTGCATTATAAGTCCGCAACAAGTGAAGTATGAATAGTTTTATGTTACGATTTCCTCTTTTTAATGTCTCTCTGGACATTTTCGGTTTTTCTGATAATATATTTTAAACATCTCCAGTTTTCTATTAAATGGGAAGGGTGTGGAGAGAAGAACAAATGTTTTAATGGTATGCTTTCTATTTCATTATTTTATTTATTGATTACTTTTGTGTAAGACTGTGAGACATATTTTGTTATTAATGCTTTTCCTTTCGGTTTTCTATATCAGGATATGGGACCTCAACTTCCAACGAATGTGACTGCCATGTTGAAATATGGGACAAATCTTCTCCAAGCTGTGGGCCAGTTTTGCGGTATGAAATGAACATATGCCTTCTTTGTCTAAAGTCGAAACATCTAAATTTTTGTTTTTATTGAGTTTGCTGACAGAGACTAAATATTGAAAAAGGTCACTATGTCATTTTGATTGCCTTCATGAGTATGGAGTCATCACCTGATGCTTCCACACTACCAGATTATGTTCCATCTGGTGACGTTGCACCAGGATCAGGTATGCCAGCACAAATGCTTTCTGTTGTATCCCAATGATGATTTGATTCTGTCATGTGAGTTTCAAGTTAATTTTTTTCCTCTTTCCTTTTGGTACAGAAGATTCTGATTTAATCGAAGGGCCATCACGTATATCCCTCAAGTGTCCCATAAGGTTAGCCAAACTACAGTTTTCCTTTCATGTAACTGCACATGATTCATATTACAAGTGTAACATCCTATTCCAAACTCCCCCAACCATATTTCTATTTGAGGCAAATGGCTTTTTATCAATTTACACCCTTATTGTTATTCTTTTACATGATTTTTATTAACTTGCAAATATAATTAAAATAAATGACAGGGTTAACAAATGTTAGTCACATGTCTTTTACCCTTATTTTTCATTTATGTGCTTGTATCCTTCCATTGTTCTTTCTTCGTGAAACTTTCAGTAGAGTATGCATTCAATTCATTAGGTCTCCTTTTTCTTTATCATTCTATTTTGGTTCTGGTGTTCTATCACTATTTTCTGAGTTCTTGCTAATTTTTAATTTTTTTTGTAAATCTTTTATAAATGGTTCATGAAATTAGTTTATCTTGAGGATTAAGAGCTTGCCAATTCATCTCAACATTATAATTCCGTGTACTTGTTGAAGTTTCTATTGATTGACTCTCTTTCTTCCAACAGCCGAACACGCATCAGAACTCCTGTCAAAGGTCATGCATGTAAGCATCTCCAGGTGAGTCTTTCTTGAGGTATTTTTGTATTAATAAAGTTGTGGAACTTGAAGAAGTTTTACAGCAGTTGCCCTGAGTTAATAGCTCACTGAATCCTGAATTCCTTACGGCGAGTTTTGATCCTCTTAAACCTTTATCACTAAATACTGATTTCATTTCGAAAAGCCCGACTAAAAATATATACTTCAAGGAACAGTTTCTTACTTGCCTAGTCGTGTTATAATTCACATGGTAATCAGGTTCCTCTTGTTCCTGATGTTTATAATTTTTTTTTTGATTTGATGTAGTGCTTTGATTTCAAAAACTATGTTGACATAAACTCTAGAAGACCATCCTGGCGCTGCCCACATTGCAATCAACATGTATGCTACACTAACATTCACATTGATCAAAATATCGCTAAGGCAAGTTGCTATTTTGTTGTCTCTGTTTTTCTGTTTTTTTTCCTTGTTGCACTTCTATTAAAGGTTTGGTTTGTCCTCAGGTGCTGAAAGAGGTGGCAGAGGATGTGTCCGATGTGATTATCTCAGCAGATGGATCATGGAAAGCTGTGATGCAAAATGATGATGATGATGTAGATGAGTTGCAAGATAAGATTCTTAATTGCGAAAAGGATGGGTCTGAGCAGCAAGAATCTGCTACGGGCGTTCCTATTGTTCTGGATCTTACTCAGTCCGACACTGAGGTGGATGCAATGGAAACTATTGAAATTGAAGACACGAAGCCTCCTGTGGCTAATCTTCAAAGTTTGTCTGCTGCTCCAAATTTAACCACAACACCAGAATTGGTTAATGCAGCTGGAACGAATCAAAATATTGTTTCTAATATGGAGGATAATTTTTGGTCAGCACTTTACTCAAGTCTTGTGCCTGGCACCTCTACTAGGATAGATACCCAAGTCGGTGGCAGATCCGAGTCTACTCCAAATATTACAGTAGCATCAGTGTTTTCTGATGCTATTTCTCCAGTGCCCAATCAAGCTGACGCTTGCAGTAATGCTAATCCTACTACCCCTGTGGTTCAAAATCAAATTGCTGCTGCAAATTTGCCATTACAGCCTTCGCAATTGATGAATACAATGCCAAATCATGAACATGGAAATTTGCATAACATGATACCTAGACATGTAAGCCGAACACCTATTGCAGTTCAGGCCCTCCCAGCAATACCTCAGACTCAGACACCAACACCACATAGATTAAGAAATAGTATTAATACTATGAACACAAACAGTTCCTTACGAACTCCGCATCAGGTGCACGATAGGGCTTCATTTTCATTATAACATAATTTTATTATTATCATCTTTTTCCAGGCTTTTGTTCTGATTTTTTGGTATAATCTTCTCAATGCAGAGTAAGAACCAGCAAGAACGTACATTTGTTCCCGGTCAGTCAGTTCAACAAGTTGGTGTTGCAGCTCCAAGTCAACTCCAGGGTTCATACAGAGCTCTGGGTGAATTCCAGAACCCACACTTGCAGCAATCACTGAACACGAGGATGTCCCAACCGAGGAGTCCATCTCCAGGCCTGATACGATCACCATCACCTCTACTACGAGCACAGGCTCAACAAGGAGCTGCACAAGTCGGGATACACTATGCAGCAGGCAATGTGAGTAGCATTCCTACCAGATTTAGAGCCACCCAAATGGCTGGACAGCCGAGACCAGCAGCACCTTATCCTGGAAATGTTGACGGGAGTAGGATTGCAGCTGTCGACCAGAGATTGAACATGGGTGGATCAGCATCGGCAGCAACTTCAAGAGCTGATACCTCAGCTGATTTGGGATCCGATCAGAACTGGCAGCCTACAGGGCGGATGCGAGGAAGCCTCGCGGGTCGAGCATATTCTGAAGCTCTTACCCATATGATGATTCAACCCACCCAATCAACACAAGCTGCAACAAGGCCACAAACAAATATAACGTCTCCACCTAGTGTTCCACCACATCTGCAGGCGATTCTCGCGAATAGCAGGAATCCTGTTGCCCCTCAAATGCAAAACAATGCAATGACTCAAACTGATGCCGTGAATAGTAGTTCCGGTACCTTCCCGAATATGTCTAGCGGGATGTAGTAGTGTTGACATAGCTGTAATGTTATGGAACCGTATGTACAAATATTTATGGCCAATTTTGTGCATATCACTTTTATTGTTGTACAGTTCCTCCCTGGGATTAAGCATTAAATTGAGTTCAGCTTCTGTTGGTTATAGTAAATCTGGATTTATAAGCTTTAGGGTTTTCAAATTTACTCATTAAATTTTATTCTCTTCTACTTTATTCTTTGTATTTTTAATTTTTTAATTAACCCACTGAATTTTCTACATTATGTTTTTTGTCCACCATTAAATGATTAACGGTATTATGATATGGTAACTTACACCAAAACCGTGTTGTTTTGAATTCCTATATAAAACTAAAATTAGTTCAAAACGTCGTTTTAATTTCCTATAGAAAGTTATTTTTTCTTATTTTTCTTTATTCTTCTTCCTTCTCTCCCCCTCTCTCACTCTCTATCTAAACTCATCTAGAATTCGACCACACATTTATCAGATGGTGATTAAAAATCAACTGCTACTATGGGTTACTACCATCAGAATCTGGTTTCTTGGCCAGCAACACTTGCTAATGGATTAATGCTTTTCCCCGTCTGAATCTTTATTTTTATGCCAGTCTCTTAGCTATTGTTTAAATGGGAAACTCATGGCACTCTGTAGCATTTTGCTAACCCCATGATTGTTCAATTCCAGTCTAAAAAAATGTTAATATTCTTCATTTTCAAGCATGTGCACTGGCCTGCACCAGCACTTGCGACTGATGGTTTTCATTTGGAACGATCGGTGATAGTTTTTTTTTTTAGATTGGGGTTGAGCTTGGAGATTAGGGTTTAATAATTTTAATTTAATTTTTCATTTTAAAAGTTTATTTGACATTAAATATTTGTAATTTTTTTAAGAAAAACGAGTCTCATTAAAAATTCCTTCTAATCAACACAAGGTGTTGACCCTACGAGGGGAAAAGAGTGCCCAACTGCATAAATCAAATAAATCGTACATCATTTGCCACCTTTGAAGAGATAATCTCGAGACAAACCGAGTCAAAAAATAGTAAAGACAATGATATACAAGCCCATTTGGCCAACGTATCTACTATAGAATTACAAGATTATTGAATAAGAGAAACATAAAAATTAGGACAAGCCTAGAACCATTCCTTCGCTAGTCGAAAATGACAAACCAAGGTAGAGAAATCTTCATCATCACGAAACAATTTGTTCACCAAAAGAGCACAATCATATTCAAAAAGTATATTCTCCCATCCTGTAACGCCCTGGATCACAGGTTAGAAGTTTCGGATTAGCTCAAGATAGTTTGGGCAAGCCCAAGTGCCGTGTAAGAGAGCTTAGTCCATTTAGACTTGAAGTTGGGTTTAGTTTGGGCTCATTATGCATTTAAAAGGGTATTTTTAACCTTGGTAGTTGGAGGACCAAAAGAGCAATTAGACCATTGTTCAAAATAAAAGTTGAATTCCCTTAATTGTAAGATGATCTCATGCCTGAACCTTCATCCTCTTTTTTCACCCCATTGCTTGTCTCATTCTCTCTACTCTTCATCTTCCTCTTTCATATCCAAGCCAAGCAAAGTTGGAAACTTTAAGAATTTCAAACATCCTTTGAAACTACTAAGGTAAAAAAACATAACCTCTATCTTCCAAGCTTCAATTTGAGCCCCTAAGTGTAAGTTTTGGTCATAGTTTCATAAAATGGGTTTTTGAGGGGTTTAAGAGTTCAAGGTTTTCCTCGTTTTTAGAGGATTTGAGTTGTAGGAAATATCCTTAATTCAAACCCAGCTTTTAAATGAGTTAGTAATACATTTGTCTTGACTTGTTTAGAGAAAGAAGTTGGTAAGTTCTTAAAAACTAAAGGCAAAGAAAAATTACTTCTTGGGTGATTTGAGAGAGTTTCGAACAGCTAGGGAACTAAAGTAACATATTTATAACTCTTACATACTATTAGTGGTCAATAGAAATGCATCTCTAGCTTTTAAGTGGAGTGGTAAAGCTTTCATGAATGTTCATGGTAGATTATACATTTTGATGTTTTAGTATGATGCCAAGCAATCTTTATGATTCTTATGTCTCACATAAAACTTTAATAATACTTGGAGACCTCAATAGGATTGTTAGAGTAGCCAAGGAGCCATTTTCGTGCCTAAGTAAGGCATTTCTGGGCCCGAGTATTGGTATTAGAAGAACAGTATCGATACTGCCCTTCAGTTCTTGAAAGAAAATGATTTTTTCAAAGTAGGAGTATCGATACTCCTTCATGGGGCATCGATACTGAGGTCACGGTCTCGAGACCCCTGAGCTTGGTATCGAGACCGATATTTTAATGAGCATTTTTGGCATTCGATACTCATATAGGGTATCGATACTAAAGTAGGAGTATCGATATTGGAGGGTCAATATCGATACCAACGGTCAGAATTTGGGCAAATAGCCCAAATTTTAAGGGAATTGATGTGGGGGACCCAAAAATGCATATATATATATATGTATACTTTTAAGACTACAAGTGAGAACAGTTAATTATGAACAAAGTACAACTAGAAACAACATTAATTAGGATGACATAATACTGGCCTTGTTTGACACTCGGGAAAACGGCAAAGACACCCAAGTTACTTTAGTAGATGATGTTAGTTATGAAGTATAGATTGTCCGGATATATGTAGGTAGTGCGCAAAGAACTTAAGACTAACCATGGCACAAGGCCTCAACACTCGCAAGGGGTGGGTTAATTGGGTATCGAATCCGGTGCAATAATTCTAGATTCACATCCCCCTTAGACAAAAGGGGTATGAGAGCCTCGAGATGCAGAAATCCCTTAGTTGTACCATTATGTCTACCATGGAATAACGTGAGTATTCGTGCATAATCACTTTAGATATCTTTATGTTAGCATGAGCATTTATGAACACTTTTAGTATGGCATTGATGTTAGTGTGGTAATGGACTAGTGAGTTCAACGTTCGGAATTGTGTTTCTATTTGTAGGTCTTTAGGTGGAACAATTGAGGAGCCATTCGCTTTGCAAAAATTTTGAACAGCTAAGCAGTTACAATACGTCTTAAGTCTATTTTATTAGAGGGTATGTATAATTTATAGACCTTCTTGTACTTAAGGCGTAACATATTTTAAATACTCAATTGTACTTTTGATATATTTAATTTGGAGCTCCTCTATATTGTAAACTTATATTTGTTTTGTATGATTTTCATGGTTTCTAAATGGTTGTTATTTATTATGTTATGAGTGTTTCAAAATAAATTTTGGGGTTATGACATTCTAATCGGTTTAATATATGTCATATCGGATTAGGGTGTTACATTAAGTGGTATTAGAGCGTCAGTTTTAGTCGGTTCTAGGACTCGCGCGTTTGAGTCAGTAAATGTGTATAAGTATGCATACCCCTAGTGAATCAAGTGTATGTCTATGTATGGAACATCGATAATGACTCATCGTTTTGCCATAATTTCAGGATTTAGACATGAGCGACAACACCGATCTTAGCCATGAGGGTAGAGTAGAGAGTGTAGCCTCATTAGTGGGTGACTCTAGGGACAAGTTCACCTCGGATATTGAGTTAGGAAGGTAGGGGACACGGGGGTCGACGAGGTGATCTTGTTTAGAGATCTGACTATGACCCTCAGGCGTATATAACGAGCCATACCTAGGGCACCTGTAGTACCACTTACAGCACCTGCATCGCCAGCCCCTCTGATCGCGACTCACTATGAGTCCTTGATTGAGCGAATCCGTAGATACTAGATGACAAACTTCTTTGGGTAGGGAGACGACGACCTCATATCTAGAGACCAATGGTTGAGAGAGACTCTGAAGACTCTTCACTAGCTGCACCTTACCTCTGAGGGTAATTTGGTGTGTATCACCGCTCTGTTGAAGGGTGATGCTATAGATTGGTGGGAGATCATCGAGATGGCTATGGAGCCGAAGATTTCAACGCATGAGTTCTTTTTGTCTTAGTTTAAAGAGAAATATATTGGGAAGGCTCACACTGATGACCTGAGAGATCAACTTCTACACCTGAGGCAAGGGGATTATTTAGTGATGGAATATGAGAGAGAATTCCTCTGCCCAAAGACCATTTATATGATGATTGTAATAATACATTTATTTATCGATTTTATTGAATAAAGGCATTACCGCTATTATTTTTAGTTATATATATGTTGTAAAACTATGTTTCGATATAACAAATTAAGGCAAAATGTTTTTGGACTTGAATTGAATTTATTCAAAGTTTTTCAAAGATTTCAAAAATAATTCAAAATCCATTTAAATTGGAATTGAGCACAAAATACAAAGAAGTATTGATATTGTTCTTTGCAGTATCGATACCACATGAACGATACCGATATTGTTTTTCTGGTATCGATACCATAGGCAAAGGTAGTACCGATACCATCAAGGTAGTATCGATACTACCATGAATGCTCAGATTCTAGAATGCAAAAATGGTACAGATACCATACAAGGGTATCGATACCATAGTGCAAAGTAGTACCGATACTCTTGAGACAGTATCGATACTACAAGGCTCCAACGGCTAGCAACAATTAGTTAATTTGAATTTAACAAAGGTAGTACCAATACCCCATAGTGGAGTACTGATACTTCTAGTTCTGGACAACCTTATTTTGCAGAAAATTAATCCCCAACGGCTAGATATGACTTCAAACTCATTTCAAGCTATAAAAACAAGCTGAGGGCACTTGAAGAAGTAAGAGAACACCTATTCAAGCATTCAAACACAAGAGAAGAGTTTTTCAATCTTATTTCATCTTTTGCTTGTAAATATTTTTGCTCTTATGAGCTTAATTCTTGTAAACACCTACCTTAGAGAGGTTTTCTTGTTTACATTTCCTTTTATTGTAATGGGGTTTTGGTTATAGCTTAGCCTGCTAGAAGCTAGGGAAAGGTTCTAGTTTAGCCCATGAAAAACTAGGGAGTTTGTAAAGGTTATCTCTTTGTCATTGAAAAAGAAAGAACACATTAGTGAATTTGTTAGATAATCCTTAGTGAGGAGCTAAGGTAGTGGATGTAGACTTGGTTGAGAAGTAGAACCACTATAAATCGCTGTGCA